TGTATATTTGAGGTTACAATGATATCAGCATGGACCTTGTTAAACAGAGAGGGGCCGAATGGCCTGCCGCTGCTTCTGGTTTGTATATTGACATCTTATTTAAAAGACAACAAATACAATTAATAGTGTACCACTCCCTCAAAAGAGGCTCTGGGTTGTAAATCTAGATTATTGTGCTTTCCTGTATGTTTCCGCTCTTGGCGCACCCAGTAATCAAAATGGACAGAAAGTTAAGGGGCCAGTTTGTTTAAGAGGCCAGGTTCTGTGCCCGTCTTCAGTGATAATGCTGCACGAGTGCTGATGTTGCATTTAAGCACGAGGTGAGCTCACTATGCTGCAATTTCCAGTCAGCCATTCTCTCACTACTTCATTATCAGTCCCATCATGTTATGCCAGTAAAGCAAAGGACCCCAGAGATGATTAAATCGGAGACAGGCAATTCTCAAAATTAATCTTGTAGAATTGCTAAAAGATCACAAAGATTTCAAGTAAAGCCGTGGAGTTCCAAACATCAACCAACGGATTTCCCGGAGTCACCCCCACATCAAAACCCAACCCACTACTCTCAGGGAAATAATTCAGTGCTTGTGTCCCTCTTCAGAAATGTTTAACTCTGTCTGTGAATGATGATAGCACCTGTGCATGTGCTGGGCTTTTGCAAACATTCTGAGCAGTGTTTAATTGAATTAAGAGGGTCACACTTACTAGCTAAAGAGCCTTGCATTTTTGTTTTGGGAAAACCTACCAAATTATGTGCCAATCAGACACTTAACTGAGCAGCAGCAGGCCTTCCCCTCCCTGATCAAAGTTCCCAGAAACAGACATCTCACCAGCCAAGAGCTACTAGCTATTATTCTCTTTTCTTCATTAACTTATAACAACAAATAGGAGCAACACAACTTGCCCTCATGCAGAGATACTGAAGCTTTAGTGATATTTCTGTCCTGCCTTTGAACTGGAACCTTTTCACGTATTAGGTGAATGTGATAGCCACTGCACTACAGAAACACAACAAATCCATGCTAGATTATCTGTGACGAGATGGCTGAAGAGGTTAAGGCGATGGACTGCTAATCCATTGTGCTTTGTACACGTGGGTTCGGAATCCCACTCTCATCACTGTTTCCCACTGTATTGGGGCAGCATGGTGGATCAGTGGTTAGCACTGCTGCTTCACAGTACCAGGGACCCAGGTTCAATTCCACCTTCAGGTGACAGTCTGTGTGGATCTTTATTCATTAACGGGATGAGGGGCGTGACTGGCCAGGCAGCATTTATTGCCCATCCCTAATTGCCCAGAGGGCAGTTGAGAGTCAACCATATTGCTGTTGGTCGGGAGTCACACGTAGGCCAAACCAGGTAAGGATGGCAGTTTCCTTCCCTAAAGGACATTAGTGAATCATTTGGGTTTTTCCTGACAATCGACAATGGATTCATGGTCATCATTAGATTCTTAATTCCAGATATTTTATTGAATTCAAATTCCAACATCTGCCCAGAACGTTATCTAGGTCTCTGATTAACAGTCTAACAATAATACCACTAGGCCATCACGTAGGCACATTCCCACCTTGTCTGCGTGGGTTTCCTCTGGGTGCTTCAGTTTCCTCCCACAGTCCAAAGATGTGCAGCGTAGGTGGATTGGCCGTGCTAAATTGCCTGTAGTGTTCAGGGATGTTTAGTTGAGGTGGGTTAAACATGGGAAATGCAGCAGTAGGGGAATGGGTCTGGATGGGATGCTCTTCGGAGGGGTGGTGTGGACTTGTTGGGCCAAATGGCCTGTTTCCACACTGTAGGGATTCTATGAATCAGATGAGAATTGAACTTATGACCTCAGCAGCTAACCTGCCTCTATGCATTGAAATCAATTATGCTAGAGCACTGGTAAAAACAAACAGGAGCAGCACATCTCTTTGTCATGCAAGGATACAGAAGCTTTAGCCTTGTTTCAACCTGGGGACTTACTGTGTGTTAGACAAATGTGACCACCACTACACCACAGAAAGACAGCCCCTATTGATGGAATGGAAATTATTTGAGTCACCAAGACAGGATTTCAATCCATGACCCAAGAGCATTACCGTGGATGTCTGAATTACTAGTGTAGTGAAGTCACCACTATGGCATCATTTGCCCCTTTGTCCATCCATGATTTCACCTTGAACTGCTGTGGATTTGGAATTACATGTTGACCAGCACAGAAAAGGATGGCAGATTTCTTTCCCGAAGTGTCATTAGTGAAAATCAATGATCACGTCATGATTAGCATTACTGAGACTGGTATTTTAATTAAATAAATTTAAGCTGTTATGATGGGATTTGAGCCAATGTCTTCAGAGCATTAGCCTGGGCTGCTAGTGGACTGCTCCCAGCCTAGTGGCATTACTACTACATTACCATCTCCCCTCATTAGCCAGCTCTACCCCCAGGGGGGTGGTGGCTACTAATGTGACCACCTGAGGCCTTGGATCACGAAGGGACACGGACACTAAGTGATGGCAGGAGTGGGTTTGTGGGTTCGCGTTGCAGGTGACAGGAATGGTAGCAAGGGTTAAGAATGGCTTTCAGAGCACACACCTTCCCATTGCCAGGTCCCCCATCAGACACTGAGTGTCTTTGAACAAGGGATACACTCAGGCCCTAAAAGCAATTCCAACACATGGCAAGTCCCCTGCTTGTTGTTGATTGAATAATGAAGCTGAATATTGAATAAGGAAGTTGTTGTGTAATGAAGCCTTCAACATAGTTATTGCATGCCCATTTAAGTGTTTCAATTAGCAGAGGAGTAATCACATCTCCCACATAAGTAAATGGTTCCAACACTAGGCTTATCATTGGCAGGTCATTAAATTCAGTTCACTGGGTTAAAAACCCTAATATCAACTGAGAAATCATGAACTGCTCCCCTGCCTCCACTTCCCTCAGACTCACTGCTCTGATACCGTACGCTACCCTAGTTGTGGTAGTGCAGAAACAAGTAGAAGTTATGTTTTAAAATCATCAACATAGATCATTATTACACATTTGAAAATATACAATAGAGGCTGAAGTATCTGCACTCACAAGAATGTCTATATGTTCTGTGGACCTTAATTCAAATTGCCTTTCCATTTTCTTTGAACGCATTTGCTTTTTAAAAATTATTTGTTTTCTCATGGTATCGTCTTTCTTGATAAAAACCCTCTTACATGTCCCTGCTTTTGTTTTTAATTTCCTCTCAGTGACTCATTTTCTTCACTAATGGTTTTCATACCCTCACCAAAACACCAGCCAGCCGAATCAAAGTCTCTTTCCTTTAATTATTCAGTCAGTTCCTCTGAATTCATGTCTCTTTATATCATTTGCCTTTGATTCCATTTTCCCAACCGATCGAGTCACTTGACACTGTACACTATAACCTCTTTCTTTCGTTAGATTAAGGATGTTAGAAATCAGACTGTTTTGCAGACATATTTCTCAGTTTCAAGGTGTGGACAGTCACCCAATTTGCCCTCTGTCACAACGGTCTGATGGTATTGTCTGTCCTGAAATGCAATACACGCTCTGAAGGGTGAAGAAATAGTTGCAGAATCAGACCGAAAAGGGTAAACCCAACACAATTAACACTGGGTGTGCATTTAAATATTTATGCATTAAATCTGGCATCTTAATGAGGCTTGCAAAGGAAATAGGCACTTCACTAAAAATAGAAGGGTGCGGAATTGCAGACTGGGAGGAATTTGGCTCAAAGCCTGCTCTCCCAATTGAGTAGTCCCTCTGCTCCCACAGCACTAAGGATCACTAAGCCAGGCGGAACCTCTCATCAGAA